TATGTAGGAGACATTTTAACACGTAGGCTTTCGCGACAAATATTCTTCATAATAAAGGTTTTTGGGTTAGATCGCATGAAAAAAAATATTGTCGTAACCCTCCACCACCTAATACAGTCAGTAAGGTTTGTCACGTAAACAACGCGCGAATGAGTTACTACTTCAGCCCACCGGTGTGTTGGAGAGTAAATCCACAACATTTACAATTTTAATAGTTCGACGTTTTGCTGGTAATTACATCCAGCATCATCGGGCGATTTGCCAGAATCGTGAAGCAATCCACCTGCTTCCGGTATTAAATAGAGAAAGATGACGTGATCACTGAACCCATCAGGTGCAGAGATCAGAGGCAGAGGAGGGGGGTATTGTAATTATGTAATAGATTCGTTTTTCGTTAATTAACATCTGTTTCCTCTATAAGGAATGCAGTTGTAAGATGTATTACTTAATATTACACTTCCAGGCCGCACTAAGCTTGTAGTTGTCTGAGTGGTTAAAATTATGTAGTTCTCTCAATTTAAATGGATTCTCAAATTACTTCAACGTTATCAAAACCAATTGAGTATCCTTGTTGGCAATCATATTCTGCAACTTCCGACAGTTGTGTTTGAGAGAATTTGATTTTTTTGTGGTGTTCTTTGAGTATTACGCTAATGTTACCAATATAGCATCTGCTACATAAGCAATAAATACGATACACACCTTCTGTTGATAACTTAGGCAATTCATTTTTAGTACAAGATACTAGGTTTTTAATTTTGTGTACCGTGCCAAATATTACTCTGATTTTTTGTTTTTTCAAAACTCTAGCTAATTTGTTAGTTTCTCCCGCAATATATGGTATTTAAAATGTTTTTATCTCATCGCTGTCAGCGTATCGCTGGTCAACCTTGGTTTAACATTCAATGCTCTGTTAATTTGAGCATTATTGTAGTCATGTAATCATAGCGCTCGTTTAACATGTTTAATCTCTCTCCTCAGACTTTCACCATCTGACACTGCTTTAGCCCGATGTATGAGCGTATTGATGAGAGAGGATTTATGAGCGGGGTGATGATGCGAATCTGCATTCAAATAGGCATCAGTGTGCATTTCCTTTCGGTAAACGCTGTGTGATTTTACCGTTTAGGCCACGTCCGAGCAAAAAATCCAGGAATGGGAGTGTGTTATTCACCTCCACTTCCATGGTGAACTGGATGGCAAGGTTTTGCGAATTGAGATGATTTAGAAATTCATTAAGTGTATCTTTACAATGTGGCCAGACAACCAAAGTGTCATCCACATATCTAAACCAAAAATATGGTTTTATTGTACTTGAAGCTCTTGCTTCAAAGTTTTCCATGTACAGATTCGCAATAGCTCCTTCCTTTTGTTTAAGGAAATCACCTCTCCATAATAAATACGTGTTATTTAGACAATAGTCAGCTCGTTTTGGAATATCTTTTGGTTAACCTGTCTTATTTACTATCGAGTAATTTAATTGACTCGTTAACCGGAATCTCAGTAAATGGAGACATTACATCAACGCTCACTAGAATGTCATTAGAGTTACGTTTAATATCTTCAATCACATTCACAAGATGCTCTGAATTTATTTTGAATAAAGATGTCCTACCGATGTAGGGCTGTATTTGTTTAATTACATACAAATAATTTTAACTGCTCTGACAATTACAGGCTTAGTGCGGCCTGGAAGCGTATTTATTAAGTAATACATCTTACAACTGCATTCCTTATAGAGGAAACGCATGCGAATTAACTGATTACTAATCTATTACATAATTACAATAACCCCCTCCTCCGCCTCTGATCTGTGCACCTGATGGGGTCAGTGATGACGTCGTCCTACTGCTCTATTTAAGACCGGAAGCAGGTGGATTGCGTCACCATTCTGGCAAATTGCCCGACGATGCTGGATGTAATTACCAGCAAAAAAGTCGCATTTAAATTGTAAATGTTTTGGATTTACTCTCAAATACACTAGTGGGCTGGAGTAGTAACTAATTGGCGTGTTGTTGTTTACGTGACAAACCTTACTGGCTGTGCCGGGTGGTGGAGGGTTATTGTGGTGCCATGGCCTCGAAGCCATTCTACAAGTGCCGTGACCCCCCCCCCCCCCCCCTTGACCCCACACACGCAGCGCACACACAGAGTGTCCTGCTTGGCACAACGGGTTTTAATCCGAAGGGTCCCTATGAGGAAAGTCCCACGGTTTCCTGGTGCCAGGGGTTGGCCGACCATCGCAGGACAGGTTACACTGCGTTGCCCCTGAGTTGGCTTGATAGTGAATGGGCGCAAGAAGGTTTACCCGGCCAACCGCATTGGCCATGCGGTACAACGCGACCCCCGGGCTTTTGAAGTTGGGGGAATAAAAAGGGGAGCCTGAGGCCATTCAAAGGAGACTCTTGTGGAACATCTTGGTCGCCAAGACTCCCCTCCTCCCTGCCGCCAGCGAGTGCCGCCAAGAGGCAGCGATAGGCAAAGTTTTTCGTCCTCTTCTTTCCGACTCTCACATCGTCCGTGCGACGCCGTGAGTACAGCTCCGAGGTACGCAGTAGGACGTTTGAGTAGCTAGGGACTTAGGCAGCAGTAGGCTAGGCTCTTCTCGCGAAATATTCCCCCCCCGGGTAGTGCGGGGTTTGCGCCGAGAATAAAAGTTAGCACAAAGCATCGGTGTGGTGTTTGTGATTTCTGTGTGGAGCGACCGCGTGGGGGAACGCGCGGCCAGAGTTCACGTGGGGCCGCGACGTGCGCGCGCGTCGAGAGGTAATCGCTCGCAGGAGCAGGTGCGAGCGCGTCCGTGCCCCCCTGTGTTAGCGATAGCTGCGATGCGCACGGGTGTGTTGGTCTAACTCCGTGCCAGCAGCACGAGTATGTCCCGCAGAGAGGGCGCTAACGCGGGGGGCCCCATCACTTGGTCGGTGGGGGACGGCGGGAGCTGAACAGGCAGACGTCGCGTCCCACCTGCCTAGCGAGGGCGGTGGGGTGGACGTGGGCCCCACGTTATGACATATACCCACGCGATCTAACCCAAAACCCTTTATTATGGATATTTACACGTGTTGTCCAATAATTGCACGCGTGTCGTGCATATATGGCACGTAATAATTGTTATGAATTGATGCATTGCATTCCATAAACTACACTATGTTTCATACTCTTTGGGTCTTTACCGAAAGAACCAAATAGTATGAATTCCTGCAGTCACGAAAGCTTTAAGTCTACACTATGTTTAATTTACAAGGCAAGACTATTCAGCTTTTTTCAAAAACGACTTGGCCACAAATGACAGCTCAACAAAAGTGGCTTATCACGTGGACATTTATAGCAGCCAAATACTTTAAATGCACGTTGATTCTAAATGTTGAGGGAAAAACCGGGGCGACCCCGCAGAAAAATCCACGTGACCACGGGGAGAACATGCAAACTCCAAATATACAGGTGTCAGAATTGGGATCGAACCCACGACCTCCTGTATACCAGGGGAGGTAGTTAACATCTCACCAACGAGGCATATGCACTCCCAGAAGGCTGTTGGGCAAATGAGTGATGTGGACAGACACCTACCTTTTATATTCTCCACAATGATGTCGATAATTATGTTCTTATTAAATGACAGCCTTACTCATAGATACATCACAAAGTGAATTATGCAAATAATGTTGTCGATTGATCTCATAACAGTGCTACCCATAATGCAATGTGCCAACAACATTTTGATAACTTTCAATATAAATCAATGAATTTAACAGGAATGCTTTCTGATTGTTAAAGGTTTTGTCTGCTACGAATAAATAACTATAAAAAAACAACCCCGTTTATCAGAATTTTTTTCTTTAAATCGCATCAGGTCTCATGGTGGAAAAACGTGCAAGTCTCCAGCTCTTATCACCTCCTGACCAATCTATTTACATACCTGTAAAGTGTAAACCCATACGGTTTACCCGTATTCATGTACGGGGAAATTGAGTTTTCAAGTTCATACAGCGTAAAGCCGTTTCAATACGGGCAAAATGTTTCTGTCTATTTGTTTGTGTTTCTCCCTTGTGATGGGACTTTCTCGGATGAACGTTGACATTTGTAAGGGGCACGGGGTGACCAATAGGGTCTGTCACAAGATAGGGCACTGATAGGGGGTTGACAGGTATGCATGTGCTCTGAAGAAGGGCTGTTGCCCGAAACGTCGCCTCTTATATCCCCCCCCCCCCCCCCACCTTTAAACCTCAATATTATAGACCCAACGCGTTTTTTTTTTACTAAAACACATTCCTGCGGAGGGAGCTGGTAGGAACGTTGGGTTGCTCGGTCAATGGCCAGGGTTAACGGCGGCGTGGTGTATTCCGCAAATATGCCCGTTTGTGAGGGCGGGCACAAGCCGGCGTGAGTAGGTTAAACGTTGCGTTTTATAAGGGGACCACCGGGTAACCAGCCCCTCCCCACCCAGCCCCACCCCTCCCACCCCTCACCCAGCCCCACCCTCCCCACCCCATCCAGCCCCACCCCTCCCACCCACCACCCAGCCCCACCGTACCCACCCAGTCCCACCCTCCCCTCCCCACCCAGCCCCACCCCTCCCACCCCCACCCAGCCCCACCGTACCCACCCAGCCCCTCCCCACCCTCCCTACCCAGTCCCTCCCCACCCTCCCCTCCTCACCCAGCCCCTCCCCACCCAGCCCCTCCCTGCACGACGGACGGACGGACACAATAATCCCCTGTGGGCTGGTGTAACCAGGAGGTTCCTACCAACCAGTATGAATAATTCGATGCATTGAGCATCAACGTCAAATGCCAGAGCGGCGGGTGGCTCAACGATCAAAGCGAGAAGCGACACTACCGAACTCTTTTTACTGCCCCCTACGCCACGCCCCACAACAGCACGTGGTCAACGTCTCGCGCAAGACCTCCACGTTCGCCAAACGCCCTCAGAGCGAACGCGCAACGCTTGCCCGTTGCGCTCACCGTTTAAAATCTGCCCCGAGGGCGTCGCGTGCTTAGCACAAGTGCGTCTCCGTCTGTGTGTGTGTTGTGTGTGTGTTGTGTGTCTCCCTCATCCTGTGTGTTTACCTCAGGCTCCCGAGAGGGTCGACTGTGTCTAAACCTCCCCACTTACTAATCGCTCGATCGCGTCAGGTAACAAGGCATCTACGTTTTTATTATTCTGTCATCGTCATCATCGTCGTCGTTGTCGTCGTCGTCAACCGCGCGTTAATTTTGTCTGAGGAGATGAGCGTGCAGCTCAAGTGCTGCCGACGTTGTCTGTGGACACGCGCAACTGACTACGTTGTTTTTAGTTGTTGACGATTGTTTTTGCATTGTGAGCGGTGTGAGGCGGTTTTTGAGTCAGGTGAGGGGTGGCCTTCATCCAGCAGTGGATCGATCAAGGCTGGTGGTGATTGTCGAGATAAACGTATTGGTTGAACAACCGCATCTTGTGCTTTAGAGGCTATAAAAACCGGTTTAATTATCGCCCAACAGCCAATTGTAGTCACTCCACTGCTGTATGAAGGCCTTCCCCAAGCCGTATCGAGGCTGTTTTGACCATACTTCACCTTGCTGGTCATTTGCGGTGCCGTGGGAGGGTGGGTGGTGTGGCTGGCACCACAGCCGTGCCAGCCTTTGTATCCCCAGCCCACGGTGTACTGTACCGTACTTATTTAAGGCCGAGTCGATGTAGTGGAAGGTCCCAGGACTGGGTCCGGCATCGAACTGCTGCTCCACTCCTCGTGGCGAGGAGCGCGGTGTTGCTAACCGCTGCGCCACCGCTCCCTGCCCTCCCCAATTCAATGAACTCATCATAGCTGTATTCTTGGTTCTTTCGGTAAAGTCACGTAGAAGGGAAGTAATACAATAATAAAAATAAAACATAATAAAATAATAAAAATAAAGCATAATATTTTTATTATTTTATTATTTCCCTTCTACGTGACTTTACCGAAAGAACCAAGAAGATGAATCCCTGCAGTCACGAAAGCTTTGAATTAAAATTTTATTATGTTTTATTTGTATTATTTTATTACTTCCCTTCTACGTGACTTTACCGAAAGAACCAAGAAGATGAATCCCTGCAGTCACGAAAGCTCTAAATCGAAAAAAATGTTTCATTATAGCTGGTTGAACACGCCGGATTTTCAGTGGTCGAAAATGCACGCTGTGAATAAACACGTCGGTTTGATGACACAAAGTAGGTTGTCACGTAGGTACATAATACAGGGTGTTTAGGGGGGGTTAGATCGCGTAAATATTATAAATGTGTCGTTAAACCCGCCACCACCCGACACGGCCAATTTACGTAAACAGAACGTGGCCAATTCGTCACTAGTACAGCAACGCGGGTTGTGTGTTGGAGAGCCAAGCCACAACATTTACAATCTGAGTACGACGTTTCGTCGGTTATTACAACCAGCTTCATCAGGCGGGTGGTGACGGGTTTAACGATATTTATGCGAGCTAACCCAAAAACACTTGTACTGTATTACGAACTAACTCATAACTGTCAACCCATACGGTTTACCCAGTCTTTTTGTACAGGGAAATTGAGTTTTCAGGTCCATACGGCAACAAAAAGCATGTGTATTTGTTTGTGTTTCTACCTTGTGATGGGACTTGGTGTAGGATGAACAATGAGATTTATAAGAGCCACGGGGTGACCAATAACGTCTGAATTGGTCTGTCATGAGGGTAGGAACAGATAAGGGATTGACAGGTATGAGAACTGGGGTAGTTAATGATTAAATGATAATGCCAGCTAATGTGACCGAAGACTTCACGTCAGCATCAACAATAATATCATCTTCTTGGTTCTTTCGGTAAAGTCACGTAGAAGGGAAATAATAAAATAATAAAAATAAAACATTAAATAATTCTCACGACGTTTCGGCCACAACGCAAGCAGCCGTCATCAGGTGAATTCCTCTTGATATGCAAATTATATGCAAATTATTTTGTCAAGGCGGTCTTCCCCCTCCAACCCAGCTTAAATATACGCTGCCAAGCCTGGTGGTGTTCATTCAGACGCTGTCTTTCTGACAGACCTGTTCTTCACCTGAGGACGGCTGCTTGCGTTGTGGCCGAAACGTCGTGAGAATGATTTTATTATGTTTTATTCGTATTATTTTATTATTTCCCTTCTACGTGACTTTACCGAAAGAACCAAAAAGATGAATCCCTGCAGTCACAAAAGCTTTAAATCGAAAAATAACATCATCCATACAGGACATCACTCTTAGAGTCGGCATCATCATACATCAACGACACTACATTACAACCACGTTATATGATTTAGTAACGTAACGTAGTTTATTAAAATCAGCCATGCTCAATATATCGGCGGATAAAGCCCTTCCATGTAGCTCCTGTCTCTGATTTCGACATCATCATAATACAAATACAATGTATGTTACACTGTGTTGTGGTGCATTGTTCAATTCACTGCTGGATGAAGGCCTCCCAAAGCCGTTGGTCGTGGGGGTTATTTGACCAAGTTTGACCGGTGGAGCGTGCTAACCCCTCCACCCCATCACGATTGGACAAAACCTGAACATCCTCAGAATGTCATCGAAGCTTCACCAAAACACAAGACTCTATATGTACAAGAAATCGCCCCTCGTTTACCGTACCTTTAAACACCATACGATCAACCTGACATCACAATAAAACGCATTAAATTGCTCTGACATCACCTCAACATCAACTGACATCGCTATATGGCTTAAACATCACCGGACAATCACCCTAACATTGCCACTGCATCACTGCTGCATACCTCTTCTTGGTTCTTTCGGTAAAGTCACGTAGAAGGGAAATCATAAAGTAATAAAAATAAAACATAATAAAATACAATTCTCACGACGTTTCGGCCACAACGCAAGCAGCCGTCCTCAGGTGAAGAACAGGTCTGTCGGAAAGGCAGCGTCTGAATGAACACCACCAATGTGTGTTATACTGTATGCTGCATACCTGTCAACTCATACGTTTCACCCGTGTTTATGTACAGGGAAATGGAGTTATTAGGTCCATACGGCATACATATGTTTCAATATAGGCATTTTTGTCTTTGTGTTTCTCCCTTGTGATGGGACTTTGTAGGGTGAACGTTGAGATTTATAATGGCACGGGGTGACCAATAAGGTAATGGATTGATCTGTAATAAGGTAGGCACTGATAAGGTGTTGACAGGTTGGTCATTGACATCTTAACATCACTAAGTCGTCTCCATAACTTCACCAAATTATTAATCGAACGCCCTAACATCAATAAATTCACATATCTCACTCACGGTGGCATCATTACAATTTATGCACGTGACGAAACCCATCACCTGACACCACTCACGCATCATGTGACGTAATCTGACATCATTTGAGCTCACCTCCTCATCACTCGGACCATCAAGCTCACATCTCTAACATCAACCAGACCGTCACAAACATCGCAGGCATCATCTTCGCGTCCGTAACTATAACCTTTGCCACGAGATCCGCAACAAATCTCACTACGGACCTGTGACGAACCTGTGTTGTACACTCGTGTGTTGACAGTGCCCATTCTTAACGTTAATAGCAATGGGGGAGGGTTGATGATGATGATGATTGTGGTGATGATGATGGTGGTGGTGATGGTGGTGGTGATGATGGTGGTGATGAGAACTGTGATTGTGTAGAGTGAAGGAAATCGAAACTGGAGTGTGTCGTTGATCCAATTGCAGTGCTAGTTGTTAATTAGTATTATTTGGTTTCCATACAAACAATTAGGAGCTTACATTAGTTTGATTTATTCATTTTTAGTCCACTGCTGGATGCGAGTCTCGACACACTGTGGGGTGGTGTTTATTTCACCATATTTCACCAATTGCTCGGATTGCTATCTGCTTAATTGCTCTTCTTTATTCCCTTTGCCCGTGTCATTTTGATGACGCATGTCCCTCGTGGTTTCTTGAGTTCACATCCAGTTAATCAGCATAAATTCACTTCCCGAAAATATCACTTTCATTTGGTGTATTTTTGTGCCGATAGCTGGGTAAACTGGCTGAACGGGATTTTCCACGTAAAAAAAATGAACATTGAATTGAACTTGATGCTGCTCAGTGCAGGTTAATGAATGGGGCTAGGCCATGACCTCTTAAAGATATCACTCCCCATCGATATTAGCCGTGGTTGGGACTCAGACTCGGGTCGCTAGGTTCATAGCGCGGTGGGTTAACCAATACGCCATGAATCTTCCCCATGAATAGTAATAATACAGCAAAAATAACAATTTGAACGCGTGCGCCATTTAAATGTCAATATCAGTCAAGATGCCGCAGAAAGCAATTCACGCAAACATGAAAAAAAGGAAATGTAGCAAAATAAAAAATAATGAAACCGCAACAAAAGTTGAGCCACGTGTTCCCGTGGTGCAATGCTCCACACAAGTAGACCCCGCTGACGGGCCAGGATACGCTGGTGGGACTATGTCACTCAGCTGGCCTGGGAATCCCTGTGAATTCCCTAGGAAGAGCTAGAGTCTGTCGCCAGGGAAAGGGAGGTCTGGACTGCCCTACTCAGCATGCTGCCGCCGTGAACCTCATCAGGACAAGCGGACTGAGAAACGAACGCCACGAACGATTTTGACGAGTCATTTCCATATTGAACGATTATTGCGGTGTTAGTTTCTCGGCCTGTTGCGATATGTCGTGATTATCATTCCTGAGCGGTCTCTGGTGTGGACCAATCAGTTTCAAGGACAATGCATATATTATCAGAGTGATTTATGTTTGCATTTTGAGCACAAGTATTGTGGTTAATGCACACATGATAACTTGTAAAATGGTTTCAGTTTTGTTGCCCAAAAAGAGGGGAAAAAACATTATCATTCCTCTTTTAACTTTTCTAAAATATTCAGGCTCCCAAATAAGATATTTGAAGTAATCGTGAACTCTACAATTAAAGCTGTAAATAAATAGCTGCTATCCATGAAATTAGCAGTGTGCAAAATGTTGTTTTGAAAGCATCGATATTCATCATTGTCATAGTTCAGCTAATTATTTATTCAATTGTTATGTAACCGACAGCAAGTTTGTTCTAAATGCTATAGCTTGTAAAGATGTAATGATTATAAGGCAGGGTACTATTGAATAACCCGCAGTCAGTTAAAGAACCTTCACAAAACCCTTATGTCCTGGGAGTACCGTAACGCATGAAAACCAAGTGCCGTAAAAATGTTAGGTGCAATTACAAATTTGTGGGATGCTGATATCGCTATTAGCATCAATCATATCGTGTAATTTAATATATCGTATCGTGAACAATTATACCGCGGCTACCCTATTAGTTTCCCGTAACTTTGTAAATGTATGTTCCATTTTTTGTATCGTAATTTTTTTATGTTGGTTTTCGTAGCTAACATTATTTTTCGTCTTGAAATCAAATTATTGTGTGTGTCATATAATCTGTATAATGCGGAAGTGTCCATTCGTCACGCTCTGTATCTCACAAACGGTAGGTCGTACGATGACAACATGAACACTCAAATGTTTCTCTTGGTGAGAAACATAGCAGCGGAATTGTCACCGTTCCTGATGATTAACTACATGTTGCTTCCGATATATTTCGAAAAATAATATCCACAACAAACGAATAGATGTCAAAATCTTCCGGAAGAGTGATTTAACATTTTATTGGTAGTGTGTGCAGAAGTTGGGTTCCCCATTTATTTATATTTAATCTCGTTCTGCATGGGCACGGTGAAAGTGCTCGTTTCTTAATATTTCGCCACCAATTAAAATATACAAAAATACAGAAAATTATTACTATTTATCAATATATAGCATAATTTTGTTGATCCCGACCCTGAAACTTGTATATATGGAGTTTGCATGTTCTCACCCTCCTGTGGATTTTTCTCTGGGTCCTCCATTTTTTTCCTTCCACATTTAGGATCAACGCACGTTTCGAGTATTTGGCTGCTATAAATTGTCCAGACGATGAGCCACTTCGTTGCGCTATCGTGTGTGGCCAGGTTGCCTCTGAAAAAAGAGCTAATCGCCCTTTGGGCTTTACCCAGTAAAATAAAATAGTTTATATTCTTGGTTCTTTCGGTAAAGTCACGTAGAAGGGAAATAATAAAATAATATAAATACAAAACAATAAAAATTCTCACGACGTTTCAATCATCATCAGGTGTGAAATCCACAGCAAGAAAATTTTAAAAAAGTGGCGAAAGAACCAAGAATATGAATCCCTGCAGTCACGAAAGCTTTAAATCAAAATTTAAAATAGTTTAGTTTTAATTTAGCCAAATTTCAAAAGATACCCACAAATTGCTACCTTCATTTATAACCGCAGTGACCTCCCTCTACTGCAGAATCTCGGCAGAACCCTTGGAGAGTCCCTCGTGGGTGCACGAGCGAAATTGTACAATTGTTTCCCATGCCGCTTTCTGGTTGTGCAGTCGACTCGCCGGCACCATGGAGCCGCTGGGCACGCGGTCCAGCACCGTCGCCATAGAGACGCTGGAGAAGTGGTGCCACGCTCGGCCCCAGCCGAGCGAGTCGGGCAGCCCGCAGGCGGCCCTGCCGCTCGGCACGGCCACCGCCGCTGTCGCCCCTCACGCCCGGTGCCCCCCCTCGCCCTTCCCGTACCGAGATGACATCAACGGAAAGATCGCCCTATGGTATGATGCGCGTGTGTTCGTGTGTGCGTGTGTGTGGCGGTTAGCGCGCTGCGCTACAAACCCGGCGATCCGGGTTCGATACCCGCTCACGGCCAACACCAGTGAGGATTATCTGAACCGGTCCAGGGCCTCCCCAAGGTCGACTCAGCCTCAAATGAGTACCTGGTGCGGTGTGTAAACATTGCCACTTAGGGAGACAAAGGCGGCCGGGCGTGGTGTTGGCCACCCACCCCCTCGTGTGCCGTGCGGGCCTTTATAGGTGCTCGCTAACAGCACTTGCCCCTACAGTCTGTTAAGGCTATACGGGGGATATTTGTCTTTATCTTTGTGGCGCTGGCACGTACCCGGCGACTCGGATTTCGAATCCCGCTCACGGCCGACACCATCGGTGACGATTATCGGAACCGGTCCCGGGCCTCCCCTCGGTCGACTCGGCCTCAAATGAGTACCTGGTGCTGTGTGTAGTAAACATCACCACTAGGGAGACAAAGGCGGCTGGGCGTGGTGCTGGCCTCCCATCGCCTCGTGTGCTGTTCTGGCCTTCATAGGTGTTCGCTAACAGCAGTCTGGCTATACGCGAAGTGCTGTGAGGTTGTTTTTACTCCTTTATATCGTACGGTTATCGTAACTGGGGATTCAATTCATACTGAACGTTTTTCTGGGTCGCTGTTAGACTGAACTAGGTGGCACTAGATTCGCGGTCACGGCCATGAACAACGATGGGGTGTGCCGTGTTGCCGACCTAAGACAGACGTGGCTGACGTTAGGCCATGGGTGACATGCGCACAAAATGAAAGATTAGCCATGTGGACTTTATTTGAAGGTTGAAAAAAATTACTTGTTAACTTGCCCTGATCTCCTGGGTACTAATGTTGTCAAAACCCATCGAGTCATTTTATTAGGCTGTCTCAACGCACACATACAACAAACACAATTACCGGTCTCATTTAATCAGGGGTTATTAAAACCGGATAAGGGGAATGTTGTTTATTTAGCCGCGTGGTATCACTGCTGCGTCAGTGACGACAATCGCTTTATTGCAATTAAATCATGATTTCCCCGACATTTTAAGCAGATATCGTTATGGGTCGATGTGACTGCTAATTTAAATCTGTTCCCAATTCTAACGCGCTTAACATCATCATCGTCATTATAATCATCGCTGTTGTCCGTTACTGCCGAACTGCGCCTAAAACATTTATCGTATGCGGGAGAACATTCCCTTAAGTGACTCTTTGAGGTCTATTTGAGTAGAACACATGGCACGTTTTATTGTGCCATAAATGTACGGCCGTAAAGCTGCTAATGCATTCGCTGGCCAACTTAGACACAGACAATTGAGTTCATCCCGGACAACGGGGCAGCTTTGTTCGTAATTCTCGCTCCAAAATTATGCCCCTGCCACCGAACCGTAACGAGCACCCGCCAGTTAAAAGCCGTGGAGATAAATTTACGGCGTGCGTCTCCGCAAGTGAAAACTTCTAGGACTGATAGTTATTTTATCGCGATGTAATTTACAAGAACTGATCGTACGGGCTAGCTGCGAGCCCAGCGTGACAGCAGGCAGTTGCACTGACGTGTTACGTGCGTCACGATACCAAGATCCACGAGAATCGTGCGACATGTTTTCAGTCACCACGGCGCTTGTGCCAGGCTAGGTGCACTTTGAGATCGTCGTGTGAGTTGTGACAGGCTCACTTGCCAGGAGTTCATGGGACAGACCCAGGTGTTATGAGTTGACTGACTGCCAGGCACACCGCTTGTGCACCTCACCATGATGTGAACTACCTCACCTGGTATACAGGAGGTCGTCGGTTCGATCCCAACCCCGACGCCTGTACATTTGGAGTTTGCATGTCCTCCGGTTTTTCACTTCACATTTAGAATCAATGTGCGTTCAGAGCATTTGGCTGCAATACATTTTCACATGATGGTAAGTCACTTCCTTGAGCTATTTTTTACGTCCAGGTCAGCTCTGAAAATGAGCTATACAGCTCAAGTGGGCCTGACCTGGTAAAATATAAGTTTTTATTTTGAGAGCATTTCTTGAAAACGAGGAGGGAGATGTTCTGTGTTGTGATTCTCAACGGTTGGTGGTGGGACTTCTCCCGTCTTCTGCGTGCTCATGGATTTCTTTGGAGAACCTTCATCTGGAATTTTATTCAGGACAACTCGATAAAAATATGCCTTCCAGAAGACCACACGTTCTCCGGAATCTCATGGGTGATGTACTGTGACCTAAATGATCGGTAGCAAAAAGTTTAATTCTAGATTTGAACGACACACTTAAGCGGTGTGCTTTCGCGAAGTTGTTCCCACCTGAAGAAGGACGCTTGTGTTGCGCCCGAAACGTCGTGATTTAATTTATTTAAATTTTTTACCTATGTGACTTTACCGAAAAAACCAAAGAGTATGTATCAAAAAGTTTGTCAAAAACACTCTGTGTGTGGCCTTAAAAGAAAAAAAAAAATTAATAGGCGGACGTTTTGGACAACGGCTCTTCTTAAAATTACGTAAATAGAGAGCCCCGAGAGACAGTGTGGATGATAATAGTTGGAGACTGCACTTGTTTTTACACCATGGAGCCTGATGAGAATTACATAATTTTTTATTTTCTGATTACCAGATTTTAAGTTGGCGTATGAGTAGATAGATTCTCTGTAAGCTTCATTCTACCCCAGACGAAACCCAGATGAGTGTCACGTGCGTTGTACCACGTCACATCACGCATGCCTGTTTCGTTGCATCGTTTGCGCAAGTGGCATCTGGCAAAGTTTGCGACGTTATATATATATTTATTGTGAGATGACCCATCCCCGTGGCCTCACTAATGCAGCAGGACAACATGTTGGCAGCAGGGTACAAAGCTGTCGTTATTTTGAGTCATGTGAGAGCTCAAAGCAGGGGCTGGAGGACACTGGAATTGCCACACAGTGGCAATTACCACGGGTCACTAGCAGTGTTAATGTAGTAGGTATTTATTTTATTCGTAGTCTTACGGTAGTCGATGGCAACTTGTGCTTAACACTGAAACCTACGAGAGCCTTGATGCTGCTCTGTGAGCCTCTCTGATTCTCACTGATCTCTTGAGAGAGCCTTAGTCTAGCTCTGAGCCTCAGTGGTTAGCACTGAACCATATGAGAACCCTAATATGGCTCTCTGAGCCTTAGTGATTTAACACTGAACTCTGTGAAAGCCTTAGTCTGACTTTTGAGCCTCAGGAATTAACACTTAACCCTATGGAAGCACTTAGTCTGGCAGCAGTGCCAATTTTGTCAGCTTTTTTCTTTAAGTAATATTCTTAGTCTAGTCAACAACAACGTGTGGAATTTCATTTGAGTCTTAGTCTCTGGGTTTCTTAAATTATCCTCTTAGTCTGGTCGACTGTAACAGTCTAACATGTAGCCAAGTATTTCGTTGCTAAATGTTGGTGTGAGAATGTTACTCGGTCTATCCTTTGTATATTCATATGGGACCAGTTTGCCATGCGTGGTGCGATCCTCGGTGTGCTGCAGTCGCGAGTCTCGCCAATGAATCCTCTCGGTGAGAGACTCGTTCAATTTGTCCCATCACAGTCGGTAGCCGCGCTCTGCTGCTCCCTTGATGGTTGGCGGTCGAGGCCATAGTCATCGTTGTCACAGTTCCTTTATTTAGCGAACGCTTTTACACGTCGATTTTGCACAGTTAGAGCACCGGTTCAGTTGGTGATTTCCATCCACTCGCAGCCAGCGTTGACTACAATAAAACATGAAAGCAATCGCCGCCCGCTGAATTGACAAATACGTTTTGCCACTAAATTAAATGACAAAATTAACTCCGGTCGGTCGCTGCTCTCGGCTGTGTGTGTTTGTGTGACGGCCAATTCAAGTTTGTGCTCGTGGGCATGAACGTTCATTCCCAGCTTGTGGCCCAAGCAAGGGGCTTACTTTTCCACACTTTACACAAAGGGACCTTTTCATCCGCTCTGGATCCGAAACGAAAAAGCTGAAGCGGTGTTGAACGCGGCGTGAAAAATGAAAGTGACTCCCGTGAATAATGGTGCTTTTCTTTGTGCGGAAAAGCATTGGGATGGAGTTAAATAAGTGAAATGGATGGAATAAATGAAAGGAAAACAATACGTAACGTCATAATGCGCGATGTGAGGATTTTTTCAAAGCTTAAGTGTGCCGCGCGTAAATAAATCAAACGCGAATATTTTGCATGGAATCATTTATTTTGTACTGGGGAAGTTATTTATTTTGGCCGGGCAATGTGTTTTTTTTTTTGCTAAGATGTTTGTACTTTCTTTTTTCGTGTATTCATGTGGATACTGTATATTGGATTTTTTTTGTAATGGAACAATTCAGCCTTTTCATTGCTTTTGGCCGCATCGTTGTTTCTTCTGGATTCAAACCTGTCTGTGAGCCAGGTGTAGGAGTGTCATCTTTATGAGGGAGCCGGAGTGTTTGTCCATCTGTCAGTCAGTCCAGCCTCGGCCTGAGAAATCCGTAAAAACTGCTAATTCTCACGCGATTAAATATCCACAGCTTCGTCGCTTGCCCATCGATGCTTGGACTGCGTTAGGGCGTATTTTCGCTGCTCACCACGCATACATAGATATTTATTTTAACCTTTTTACCAGGTTTGGCCCACTGGAGCTTTACAGCTCTTTTTCAGACGCGACCTGACCGCAAATGATAGCTCAACAAAGTGGCTTATCATCACGTGGAAATTTATAGCAGCCAAATACTCTTAAACGCGCGTTGATTCTAGAGGTGGAGGGAAAAAAACGGGCGACCCGGATACAAATTTACGTGTCCACGGGGAGAACATGCAAGCTCCAAATATACAGGCGTCGGGGTCGAACCCATGGCCATGCGAGGTAGTTAACATCTCGCCACCGCGGTACATGCACTCGACAATGAAACCTCTCAGAACCGGAATTTGTCGTAAGCAAAGCGGGTGCCTTGGAGATCCGCTTTCCCCACTACCTGCTGTGCACGTGACCATCGTACAACAGACTCTGGCACCCTGTCCCTAGCACGTGACTTTGCTCCGTGGGTGATGGAGCATTCTGTCCCTCCGCTCAGAAACTGTGGAATTCTTTGCCCAAGGCCATTGGAGACTCGCATGTAAAAACTTATTTTATTAATTGACCTCTTTAAAATAATTTATTTATTTCCAGTTTCTCTTTTTTTTGGGTGAATAATTTTATTTTGTTTTGCGTTGTAGAGTGCTGACAGCAAGGTGCTATAGAAAATAATTTAATTTATATTTTAAATGCTAGATTTGAAGTTTTCGTGGCTGTAGGGATCCATACTCTTTGGTTCTTTCGGTAAAGTCACGTACGCTTGTGTTGCGCCGGAAACTTCGCGATTTAATTTATTTTATTTTATACCTACGTGACTCTACCGAAAGAACCAAAGAGTATTTTAAATACTTTTAAATAAACCAAAAAAACTCCGAATGGCACACCGTTCTCTTGTTCCGTGAGTGGCCAATGGTACAGGTCTATGCTAATCATCTAGACATCTATGACAAAGAGCTTCCTAGCTCATCGGATTCCTCCAGTCTAAATAAACACATTCCTGCGGAGGGAGCTGGTAGGAACGTTGGGTTGCTCGGTCAATGGCCAGGGTCAACGGCGGCGTGGTGTATTCCGCAAATATGTCCGACTGTGACGGCGGGCACAAGCCGGAGTGAGTAGGTTAAACGTTGAGTTTTATAAGGGCACCACGGGTTGACCAGCCCCTCCCCACCCAGCCCCACCCCTCCCACCCCCCACCCAGCCCTACCCTCCCCACCCAGCCCCCCCCACCCTCCCCACCCAGCCCCTCCCCACCCAGCCCCACCCTCCCCACCCAGCCCCTCCCCACCCTCCCCTCCCCACCCAGCCCCTCTCTCCCCACCCAGCCACCCCTGCACGACGGACGGACACAATAATCCCCTGTGGGCTGGTGTAACCAGGAGGTTCCTACCAGTAAGATTCTGAATTTCGATTCTAATCACGTGCAGTAAATTGGAGACGTGCCTGTCAACACTAGGAATTGTAAGACCCTATTGTTCTATTCCTGACCATTGTAATAAATCCATTGAGAGCTGCAATCTTGGAATCTTCTTCTTCCTGTGTGCTGCCACCACAGTCGTGTGTTTATCCAGTATCAGGCTCATGATGATGCTATGGCCAGTAGTGGATAGACGATGGCTCATGACGGTACGGCCAGGTATCTAATCAGCATGTGCCTGCTCGCCCTTAAAGCTTTGCGCAGCTGCCAGAAATGTAAAACAAAACCCAATCAAATAGTCACATGGAAACAAATGCGTACGTTTTAGCGGTAATGAAGCGTTGTTTCATCGCAGCAGGGGGGCGGTCGAATGCTCTTATTCATTTATACACATGGATCAACAAAAAAGGGTGGAATTGTTTTTTGACGTCGTTGAGGTGCTTTTGCGTCACGCATTTCGTCCATTTGTTTAACGACCTCCCTTCTCCGTGTCCTCTGAGCATTAGTCATTTCCCCGGGACCTTACACGATGGTCGGTGGTAAAGGTGCAGCCCTGAAATTGCGAGCTCACACCACTGCTGGTGGAAGGGCGTCTAATGTAAAAAAAATATCTCGAAAGGGCCACTCTTGAGTTATTTTGTCAACTCTTTCACACTGGCCGGATGTTCTTGGAAGAAGTACCCACGTTTCGTACCACCACAGGACAACCTACCAGTCGGTTGATGTAGTGAATCCATTTAAACTGCTTGGTGGACAGAGGCTGGGGGGATTTAAGAAACTTGCAACTGCCGCGCCGGAAGATTGAATGGAACCGGTAAACTATTAAACAATTTTCTATTTTACCAGGTAAAGGCCCACTGAGCTATGTAGCTCCTTTTCAGAAGGGACCTGTTCACAAATGATAGCTCAACGAAGTGGCTTATTGTGTGGAAATGTATAGCAGCCAAATGCTCTAAACGTGTGACGTTGTTTCTGAATGGAGGGAAAAACCGGAGGACCCTGAGAAAAATCCACACGACCACGGGAAGAGCATACATACTCCAAATACACAGCAGGCGTCAGGGTCAGGATCGAACCCACGATCTCCTGTATACCAGGCGAGGTAGTTAACATCGTGCCACTGGAACCGGTGGCCTGGGATGGCAAGTTTGTTGTTACATCACGGCAACATCCCAAAAACAATAAGAAAGCTACTAGTGATGACAATATATTTTTATTCTCCAAACAATTTTTGTTTTGCTTGGCAGATGATTGTAGACAATTATTCCGTTAAGTGCTTTTTTGGATGTCTCAACGAATTTGGTCGAAAGGCTTGAGGATCATCGTTACTTAAAATCCGATGGATTTTTGTTGTTGTTCTTCTTGTTTGGAAGCGGCTAACCATCGGTCGAACCGACGGGACGTCGCGTGTGCGCAGTGGAAATGTACGCCCCCGCCGTCGACCTATGGCGGTTGTGTTACAATTATGCGGTTGCGTTACAATTACGCGCTGACCTATGCTCGGTGTCTTGTATAATTACACTGGTCAACACACTTTTTCTGGCATAAGGTACTCCAACGGTTTTAAGGTAATTTTGGGGTGCTGATTCCAAATCTGGCATCAGTTTTTGTCTATCACATCAAATATTGTATTTTCAATAAAAACTGCAGAAGAAAAATATAAAATTAATGTGGATATCTACATAAAATGATATTATAAACAGACTATCCTAAAAATACAGCACCATATTTTAACCCTAAAGCAGTCACTGACTCGCAACAACTTGCAATCATAAGTGACAGAGTTAATTTCGGGTAAAATCAATGAAAATGGGGTATGCCGATAGCATAAAAACGAGATGTGATAGAGCAAATCTGAGATCAGATTTGGAATCAGCACCCTGAAATTAGTCTAAAACAGCTGCAAAAGTCCAGGCCAAAAAAAAATGTATTTTTTTTTGTTGACCAGTGTTATGCACAGTTGCAATCCCGTTTAACTTGCAGGTGACCATTCGAGCGGGGGGGGGGGGGGGTTGAATCCCCCCCCCACTCCCCCGAAATGAGAGAGGGATTTGCCCCAAAATGCTACGCGTTCATGACCTGTGCTTTCCTCGCGGACGTTCGTTTGTTTGTTTGGTTCTTGAACAACTGCAAAAAAAACAAAGCGCAGGTAGCCTGCGGACAGAACCTTCAGAAACCGCTTACAATTAGAGGGAGAGACGCCAATAACAATGGGCAAATAATAATTGCAGTGCTGTCATCAGGCTCTCGGTATTTTTTGTTGCCGGCGTTCGTGTCTCTCGCCCGTGTCGTGGCGGGTAACGCCCTTGGGTTAAAATGTTGTTACGTGCCGTGTGTTTTGTTGTTGTTGTTATTGCTTGTCCTCCCTTTGATTCTTTTTTTAAACGCCTAGCTGTTGTTTTTACTGTGGCTCATTTGACATTCATTGAGTGACACAATGATGCCCTTACGTTCCTTGCAGACTTGTAATGAAAAATGCTGTATTCAGACACACGAGTAGTGGCACATTTACGCTGGCATACGCTGCCTATCATCGGTGGTGCATGATATCTGAACCTGTCTTAGGTCTCCTCTAGGTCGACTCGGCCTGTACAATGAGTACCTGCTGCAGTGTTTCAAACATTATCACTGTGGTAACAAAAGCAGGTGAGCGTGGTGGTGCTCGCCACACGCTAACAACACAGACAGACTATGGAGGTTACACGGGCGATCTTTGCCGATACTTGTGTATTACAATATGTCTCGGGAGCTAAATGCCAATGTCGTGGTCTGTTGGCCGCAGAGAAGAGGGCTTCAGGAGAGTATTCATGTAGTCTTGCTGTTCCTCCTATTGAAGGAGGGCAGGCTACAGTGGGTAACTACAGGGTCCAAAATTTGGGTTGCGTGGCCACGATCGCACGACTGTGGCTTGTCTAATTTCCCATTCATTAAGGAGATTCGGCGGGCATTTGGCCTGCTGTTGACGTTTTCATGCAGTTGATGGTTACACCAGTGGTGAGCGAGTTGGTGGGAGAGCGAGTGAGTTGATGGGTACACCCAGTGTCTTCGAGGTGTAGCAATGTCACGCAAGCCAGGAGGTGTATGGTGTGATGTTTGTCTCTCGAATGAGGCATTCATTCTGGACTCCCGCATCCAGACGATCTCGCCACCATCTCGCGATGCCACCCCACCAGAGGTCGCAAACGGGTTTTGATTCTTTACCCGTACCCGTGCCCGGCCGCACCAGGGTTGCAAACGGGTACCCATACCCGTACCCGGCCAGGTACGGGTAGCCGGGTATCAGGTAGGGTACGGGTATCGGGTACCCGGTTGCGACCTCTGCACCCCACCTGCCACGCGTTTTCACGTCGCCTCAAGCTTGACTAACGGCGTCATCCGGGGCGGAAAAACGGCCGTCGTTAATTCGAATGTTCTTTTGTTCTCGTATTCGTCTGCGCATGCGTGCGCGAGCAGGAAGGGCGACGTGGCGCACCTGAACTGCAACGTCATCGTGTGCCCCACCAACGAGCACCTCAACGACAAGAACGCCGTCAGCGACAGCGTGCACGCGCTCGCCGGGCCGCAGCTGCACGACGAGCTGCGCAAGCTGAACGGTCGGTACCCTCGCGGCCGCGTGGCTCGCTCACAGTTTCGTGTCCGGCGGGGCTACCACCCCACCCCCCCCACCCACCCCCCCAGTTCATGCAACGGTGTGGTATGACACGGGGTAAAAACGCCACGCACCGCTTGTGTGGTCGCGGTGGACGTCGGAAAGAGCCCCCCCTGGCGTCGTTCGAGACAAGGATGTCGGTTGTTGTTGTGTGTGCCGCCACCCTCATTGTCCAGATGTTCCCGACATCGATCATTCGCACCACGGATTAGGTGCCGAGTCACCTGATGCCACACATGGTTAGCTGCCAATGGGGTCGCCCCTTTACATTTTTCAGATGAGATGTTGATGTAAGTGAAGTGATCGTGAGACGCCTCGGCGTCATTAGTGGTCTATCAAAAACTAATTATTATTTGATAGTCATACCACACCGCCCCCAATGAAAGACAACTCAAAGTGTTATTTAGCACGTACGTATGTATTACCACAGTGATGTGACTGTAGTGCTATGGCAGTATGCTTGAATGCCACTTTAAAGTATTTTATTCGCATTAATTAAGCTTTGTACTCTTGGTCGGACAATCCAGGGCACACAGCCTGGGTACATACAGTATCTAGAGCATGAGTAAAGCTGTTTGCTTTGGATTTTAAAATGTCAAGAGAGCTACGGTCCAGTTGGGTCGGACGTATGCATTGCGAACATCGCTTGCGTTGCTCGCCTGCCAGCTCGGTTGACCCCGGTCTGTGGCCTTTCACTTTCACATGTTCCAAAGGAAACTTGATTTTCTGCAGGTGTAGTAACTGACTCAGATACACTAAGAGTAGGAGGCACTCTGTTTGTTAACAGCCTTAACAATTCACACTATTAGCAACTACACTTCCCAGTCAGGACAGCTGGCAGACTGCCTGACTAGCGACGCCGAGACGGTGAAGACGGCGGCGATGACTCCAGCAGCAGCACGACGGGATCCCACTCCAAACGACAGCCCCAAGGTCTCCTCCCGGGGCCCCTCTTATACTGTCAGCGTGGCCTGGCTCCGCCCTGGCCACCCCCATGGCCACGCCCCCCTTCTGGAACCTACTAGCGGGTTCGTTTGTACCCCTTCCGTAACCTTTCACCTACATCCCTCTCTCTGGTGTATCACGTGACCTGCTGTCAGTCAGGGCTGCTGTAATTGCAGATCCCCTTCCCTGCCAGCAACAAGCGTTATGCTACTCTTTGTTTTTTTTGGTAAAGTCACGTAGGTAAAACAATTAATTAATAATATAAAATAAATGAAAACAACTAAATTAAGTCACGACGTTTCGGAGGCAACACAAGCCTCCCTCATCAGGTGTAAAAAGGCACGGCAAAATTACTGTAGCCAATCAAATCTAGAATTAAGCGCTATGCTGCTAAGTGACCGATTCTATGTCACTACACAGGTATAACATATCAGAACGTCACGCTGTTTGTGGGTCTTGACCCCTGCGTGAGTGCAGGCTTAGCAGAATTAGGGAAGCGGGATGAACCTGGAGGCTAAATAAGCTCGTCTCACCAGCCAAGCTTGGAATACTAGTGATAATGATGCCTTTCATTTGTCTAGGTGATGTTTAACTGAGCCTACTTATGTTGGAATGTTTGGCCAATACATTTCTTTAGAAGTGCTTTTTGTGTTTTGTTTATTGTCCTTGCCCCGCACCTCTGATTAGCATGGTTGGTTACGTACGGTGCGAAATAAGTTCAACATGCATGCAATAATATCTTTGAGATGGCTCTCCCATGTGGGGTTGTGGGTTGAACCGCGCGTTGTTCGGCGTGATGTCTGACGTTTCACACCACGTCCTGGAAGCTTCTTGAGGAGCTGAATTGAATGATATAATTTGGCCAATTTTGGAATGTTATATTGGGCCAATCATTTAAATTTGTGTCTCTCCGATGGGAGTGTCTCTCCGATTGGGGGTTCGCGGTGGTGAGATGTTAACTATCTCGCCTGGTATACAGGAGGTCGGGGTTCAATCCCGACCCAGTGACGCCTGCTGTATATATTTGGAGTTTTCCTGTTCTCCCCGTGGTTGCTTGGATTTTTATCCGGGTCGTCTGGTTTTTTTCCTCAACATTTAGAAACATGCGTATAGAGTATTTGGCTGGTATAAATTTCCACGTGATAAGGCACTTCGTTGAGCGATCATTTGTGGCCAGCTGTATCGCTCAGTGGGCCTTACCTGGTAAAAGAAAAATAGTTGAGTTTAGTTTAAATTCGAGTTGTACCACGTGTTTCACTCTGGGTGCTGGGAGCACCTTTCTTTCCTGCACCATCTCCCCTTCATCAAGCCACACTGACTGGCGTAGCGAAGTGTGGTCAAACAACTCCCGTTATGACGTACGCGGCGTGGCAAGGCTTTCGTCCAGCAGTGGATAGACGAACGAACGAAAGATAATGCTATTTTTATTATTCTCATTGCAAAATGACGTTGCATTATGATTTGTTTAGTTTCCGGAGTGAGCGGCGGTGGCAGCGGCAGCGGCGTACTGTGAACCCAACGACCCGCTGTTTATTCACGTCGAGCGTGCGATACCTGAACCAGCGCTTGCGAACGCAAATTTGACTCCGATTTTATTCACTCTCACATGCCCAGCCGGTTCCGTTTTCTCGCTGCTCTTGTTCGGCGAGTGCCAGTGTGCTTCGACAACGGCTCACTTGTTGAGCTGGCAGCATTGCTTCGTGTAGACGGAAGGACAAACAGATGCTGCGATGATGCAGATAGAGCATTGGTTGTGCAACAGAGGTTTAGCAATTCCTCCCCCATCTCCCCTCCCCCCTCTGCCCCTGGTATTTCGATGAATCGTCAAAATTTAGTTTCCTTTGCAGCGTTTTCTGGTTGTACTGCCGTGTGTTATCCTGCTCGATGTTCGACGGTTCGCTCTACATGCTGGGGAGCTTCTTCAGTGACTGAAGAAAACAATAATAAACGTCGGATATTGTGCCAAACGACACTCGATCGAGACGAATGACAGTGATTGTTTTTTTTTACTAGGTAAGACCCACTAGCTCTTTTTCAGAAGCGACCTGGTTATCACAAATGATAGCTCAGCGAAGTGGTTTATCACGTGGAAATCTATAGCAGCCAAATACTCTAAACGTGTGTTGATTACAAATGTGGAGGGAAAAACAGGAGGACCCGGAGAAAAATCTATGCGACCATGGGTAGAGAGACGTGCAAACTCCAAATATACAGGCGTCAGGGTCGGGATCGAAACCACGAACCTCCTGTATACCAGGCGAGGTAGCTAACATCTCGGTACCGTGGCACCCCACAATCAGTTAGTATTACGTTCCTGCAAAAATCATGCAATGACCACAACCAATGTTTCCATCAAAATGTGGAATTACGGCTAAATAGAACACGCATACTTGAAATAGTATCAACGATTTATTTTTCATGCAGCCGTTTTTATAAAATATTTGAAACGTGTGTGTAAACATCGCCACTAGGGAGACAAAGGTGGTCAGGCATGGTGTTGGCCACCCCCCTCACCCCTTTGTGTGTCGTGCCGGCCTTAATCGGTGCTCGCTTAACAGCACTTGCCCCAACAGTCTGTTCATGGCTATACGGAGGAGTCATATTCTTAGGTTTTTTCGGTAAAGTTACGTAGGTAAAAAACATTAAAAAGTAAAATAAAATAAAAATCACGACGTTTCGGAGGCAACACAAGCTTCTGTCTTCAGGTGGTACCGTCACAGCCACGACAGCTGTATCAAGTAAATGAGAGATTGCAGAAGCTACCACTCCGTTTATATAATGGAGTGGTAGCTTCTGTGACGGTACCACCTGAAGACGGAAGCTTGTGTTGCCTCCGAAACGTGATTTTTATTTATTTTACTTTTTAATGTTTTTTACCTACGTGAGTTTACCGAAAAAACCTAAGAATATGAATCATTGCAGTCACGAAAGCTTCAAATCTAGAATTATACGGAGGATCTTTTGTCTTGTTTGTGTGTTTTCAGCAACGTGGCCTGCAAAATCGATGACATGCAAACGGTTCACCTGTGCCGCCTATTCACCTTGTAAAGGCGACGTGGAATACGAGTCACTTGCAGTACCGCCTCTGGGCGGCAGGGTGGCGCAGTGGTCACGCTCTTGTCTCGCAGAAAGTCGCCCACCCGGGTTCGATTCGCGACTCGGGCGCCTTGTACATGGAGTTAGTTCGTTCCTGCACCCCCACCCCCCACGTGTTCTGCATTGGTATCTTCCGCATTCTGCATTTTTACTCGGCTAGTTAACCGACGGCGTTCAATGCGACTGGAATCGGCCAAGCATACCCTGCGCAGAAACAAATGACCTTGCAAGTTACTCGTTTGGAATTGCACACAGCAGCAACATTGGTCAACCCCTACTGCGACACAAACCTGGCAGGACCCTCCTGAAAGCGAGTCTTGAGACTCAGCGAGGCTTTGCTAGGTGAACAAGGATTCCAATAGTAAACTTACAAATTCATCCGAGGTGTCACCAAACGCCAGTCTCTCACCCAGTGATTAAGAAAGTGCGAAACCGCACGTTGAATTTGTCAAACGTTGTCGCCGCTCGCACCCTAACCCCTCTGCGATTCAACTCCAGAATCGATCGTTCTCTCTTTTTGTTGTTGTTCTTGTTTTTACCCGACCCCGTTTGTATTGATCTTCATCGCCCCATGCAGCATTTCCTTCCAACGTTGCATTCGCCAACATCGGGGTGGGACCATTCACACTCTTCCCCCCAACCCCGTTCGACGATTTGGCGAATGTACGTATGTATTTTGAACTTCTCCACATTTTAGTACGTCGTACGCGCTTCGCAGAACATGACTTCTGGCGATTTCTCAATCCACTGCTGCATGACAAGTCCAGATTTGAAGTTTTCGTGACTGCAGGGATCCATACTCTGGTTCTTTCGGTAAAGTCACGTAGGTGAAAGAAAAAAAGAAAAATAACTAAATTAAATCACGACGTTTCGGAGGCAACACAAGCTTCCGTCATCAGTTGG